TCGACCGGTGAGTCGTCTGGTCATCAGCCCAAGAAGCGTCTGAGTGGCCGGTGAGAACAACTGAACCCTTTCCTCCAAGCACAAGCCCCATGCCCAATGTACTGCACAAGTAACGCAGTACCCTCTTTGCAGCGTCCCAGTGCACCTTTCGGTGTCTACCGGGAGCCACGTAGCGAGCCAGGAGGCTGAGAGGGTACGCGAGGTCAGGTCGTGTGCACGTCATCAGGTACATGAGGCAACCCACAAGCTCTGGGTGACTGAGTGAGGGTGATGGTGTGTGGTGCTCTGTCCCGGGTGATCTGCAAGCCAAGATAGCTCCGCAGCTCACCCAGCTCAGTGCAGGTGTGTCTCTCCTGCAGCTCCGCCTTCACTAGGGCCAGTGCCTCAGTGTCAGCAGTAGCAAGAACCAATTCGTCTATATACACGAGAACGTAGAACGGCGGCAGAGAAGTGTCTGTGCGCAGAAACAGCGAAGGGTCAGCAGTCGAGGGAGCGAAGCCAAGAGCCGCAAGTGTAGTCCTCAGTGTGTCATGCCACTCACGGGGCCCCTGACGCAGACCGTAGACTGGTCGCCGAAGACTCCACTGGGTACCCTCAGGAAACGACCCAGTGAAGCCACGTGTGCGGCGCAACCAGATAGCCTCGTGAAGGCTGCCCTGCAGGAAAGATGTCGAGAAGTCGAGGGAGTGCAGCTCGTAGTCGCGATGTGCTGCAACGTGCAGTAGCACCCGAGATGAGATGCAGCGGCCGCTAGGCACTCCAGCTCAAACTGCCTATCCTCAAGAACGTCACAGCCAAGGGCAAACTCACCCCCGACGGATGGAGGACAGGCTGAGTCAAAAACAAGACTCGCAGCGTAGTCAAGGCGGCACAAAGCAGCAAAGTCAACAAGCTCAGCAACTAAGGCAGACGCAGTAGCAGACTCAAAGGAAGGGTTAGTCACAACCATGGCAAGGAGACGAGTGACAGTTGAACTGGCAGTACGGACAAGGTCAGACTACGGGTCAGTAACTTGAGGAAGAGACGACGCAAGAGGCGACGGCAGGACAACACGCTGTGGAACAGAGGAAGGACGAAGTGCCATACGGTGAGTGCCTGGCACAGCTGGAGCACGAGGATGGGCATCACGACGAGCACGAACAGGACTCAGTCACCTCAGTGTGAGGAGCAGGAGCAGGCAGCGGGGAGCCAGGCAGTAGCTGTGGCTGAGACTGATCAGTCGGTGGGAACAGTAACGGAGGAGTAGTACCAGCAACCGGGAACTCAGTAGCAGCAGGCGGGAGACTCAGAAGGTGACGAAGCGCAGACGGCTGAGGCTGAGTAGTCACACCCCTAGAACCTCGAGCCCCAGTAGGAACAGCACCCCCAGAACCAGCACCACCAGCTCCACCACCAGGACTGCCCCAACGGACAGCCCAGTCGCGAAGCTGCTGCGACGAGAGCGACTCCTGCCGACCAGCACCACCAACTCCAGTACCTCCAGTAGCACCTCCAGTGTCAGCACCGCCAGTACCTCCAACTCCAGGAACAACAGCACTAGCACCTACAGGGCCAGCACCTCCAGTACCTCCAGCTCCAGCAAGTCCAGCTCCACCACCGGGGCTGCCCCACCGGACAGCCCACTCTCGAAGCCGCTCCGGCGAGTCCAGCTCTTGTCGACGTGAGCCAGGACTACCCGCAGCAGCACCCACAGCAGCAGCACCTCCAGTACCTCCAGTAGCACCTGTGCCTCCAGCACCAGTACCTCCAGCACGGCCAATTCCAGGAACACCAGCACTAGCATCTCCAGGGCCAGTACCTCCAGTACCTGCAGCTCCAGCACGTCCAACGCCACCACCAGGACTGCCCCAACGGACAGCCCACTCGCGAAGCCGCTCCGGCAAGAGAGTCTCCTGCCGACGTGCACCAGCGCCACCAGCACCAGCACCACCAGCACCAGCACCCGCAGAACCTCCAGCAGCAGCACCTCCAGCACCCCCTGCACCTGTAGGACTCGCAGCACCCCCAGAGCCAGCACCCCCAGAGTCCGCAACCCCAGTGTCACCACCTCCAGCAGCACCAGAGTCCACAGCAACGGGCCGCAGAGGCGGTGAAGAAGGTCGAGGCGGAAAACCAGGAGGGACCGCCAAGCGCGCGGAGCGGCGAGGGGCCACGGTGTCGGCAGCAGTCTGGTCACCCCCCTCAGCTGGGCCAGAGGTGTCTGAGGAGACCTCCAAATGCTCAACCAGGGGGGGTGGGTCTACCTGAGACACACCTGAGGGAGCGGGACCGGGAGGAGGGAGGGGGGCTACCAGGGGGGGGTCGGCCACCAGGGAGAGAGGCGGGAGGGGTACCGGGGAACTGCGGTGGGGGTGAAGACGGTAGAAGCAGACGGACTCGTCAAAGGTGACGTCACGGGAGGACAGCACACGACGAGAGCCCGGGTGGTAAAAGTGCCAGGGCAGTGCGTCGGTGGGAAAGCCAAGGAACACGCACCGAAGAGTGCGTGGAGAGAGCTTGCCCGCGGGCAAATCGCGAACAAGAGAGAGGGAACCCCAGACCTGAAACGCCGACGCATCACCAACCTTGCTCATCCACCGTAAAGTAGGGGAGGTCTCCGGGTGGGAGACACGGGGCCAGAGGTTGAGCTGGTCAGCGGCGTATCGGACCGCAAACGGCCACAGAAAATGGGGAGCAGCCGCATGGATCATGGAAGTGCGAGCAACCTCCATGACCAGACCAATGCGGCGCTCGGCAATCCCATTCTGCTATGGAGAGGCCGGAAGCGTGTACGACTGGACGATGCCCTCACCACCACATAAGTCCTCGAGGAGGCTGGAGGAAAACTCACCACCTCGGTCGGAGTGCAGCCGCAGGACTGGGAGGTCCTGACGGAACCGAGCGCGAAGCTGGAGACGGACAGCGCAGATCCAGCGGATCAAGACACCGCGGACATCTGCCTTGCTCTGCAAGGGAAAGACCGTGGTGTAGCGCGTGTAGTCGTCTACAACCAGCAGAAAGTAGCACTCACCACCCTGTCCAATGACGCGGGCGGGGCCCCACACGTCCATGTGCAGGGTCTGCAGAGGAGCAGTGGTAGGAGCAAACGAGGAGTGAGGAGCGGCGCGCTACCGCCCCTCAACGCAGGGAAGGCAGGGCGGTGCAAGCGACCTCGGAGGGACCTAGGGAGACCAGACACAAGGAGACGGGAGTGCATGCCACGCACGCGTGGCAAGGAGGGGTGGCCAAGACGGTGGTGCCAGAGGAGAGTCTGGTGCGTGAGGAGACGACACGAACAAGACGCAGCGACCTCAACCGACGCAGCTACCTGATCTGACTCAGCTACCAGTGCAGACTCAGTGGTCAGTGTGTACAGGCCAGACCCAGGCCTCCGAGTGAACGTGGCGAGGTGCTCACCAGTGCGCGCGTCCGTACAGATCGCCACTAGCTCGCCTCCATGCTGGGTGACAGTGACCCACTGGTCCTGGAGGACAGAGGTAGCCACCAAGTTCGTAGCGAACGAGGGGAGGTGGAGACCTGTGAGGAGGCCAGAAGGGGCCGCCGGACAAGGGAGAACAGTGGCGCCATGCGCGACTACCGGGCCCCCGGAGGGGTCGGCCAGTGTGACAGGGACAGGGACTGTGAGCGGTGTGACTGTGGTGCTGTCGCGGAAGAAGCAACGAGACGCGCCTGAGTCGAGAGTAAAAATGTGCAAGGCCTCCTCAGGCTCTGCACCTGTGCTAGCTGAGTCAAAAGCACCAAGACTAGCAGCCTCTACGGCACCAGGTGCATCTACACCCCCAGTACGAAACCCTCCGCCACTGGGGCTGCCCCACCGGACAGCCCACTCACGAAGCTATTGCGAGGAGAGAGTCTCCGGCGGACGCTGCTGCTGCTGCTGTCCACCCCCAGAACCTCCGCGTCTACCAGCGGCACTACCAGCAGGAGTAGACTCGCAGGGACCTCCAGTAGTAGCACCCCAGGCTCCGCCACCTGGGCTGCCCCACTGGACAGCCCTCTTGCGAAGCTGCTGCGACGAGAGCGTCTCCTGCCGATGAGTACGAGGACCGCCAGCACCAGCACCTCCAGCTCTAGCATGGCTAGCTCCGCCATCGGGGCTGCCCCACCAGATAGCCCACTCGCGAAGCTGCTGCGGCGAGAGAGACTCCTGCACACTCGGCTGCCGCTGAATGGACATAATGGTATCCACTGCAACTAGGCGGCGAAGATAACGATACAATAATGTCTAAAAACAATATGCAATACCTAGTACATTTCAAGGTACAACATGGGCACAGAACCATGCATGGCATGCTCTTGGACAGCGCGGCTCCATGTTAGCAGACATGGCAAGGTGAGAGTTTAGAGGTGAACGCACGTGGAATGGGAACATGAGTGTGAATGGCCGCGAGAGTGTGAGTGCATGTGATGGCACAGCAACGAATGAGTGAGGAAAGGGGGGGAAGAGAGAGCACATTGCGCATCCATCACCACACATGCCATCCAAGGTTTCTTACCATCCTCCGGCATGCATTGCTTGCACTCTTGGGGTCATGACTCGTCTAGTTCCATCGAACACACTTCACGCTTTGTGTGAACATGGCAGAAACACACTTTCCATTCAGACACTCTCGCACACTTCCTGTTGAAACACTCAGTCAATCACCGCCATTGCTCGCCGCACCTGCCTCTCACTCTTCTCCCACTGCTATGATCCTGTCTCACCAACTCACTCACCTTCTCACCCAACTGCTCCCTCTTCTCCCCTTCCCATCCACCCCTCTTCTCCCCTCCCCATCCCTCCCCTCACCTGCCATGCCACTCGCCTCACAACCCTCTCCTCATGCCCCACCAGCCACTTCACCACCACTGCTTCCCGTCTCGACCAACTGCTCTCTCATGCACCTCTTCTGAGGCGACTCACAAGCATCTTCGTACCCAACTGCTCCCTCTTCTCCCCCTCCTATACTTCTCCCTCCCCTCATGCCCCGCAAGGCACTTCATCACCACTGATTCCCCTCTCACCAACCTTCTCCCCCTCCATTCCCTCCGCTCCCTACTCTCACCTGCCATGCCACGCGCCTCACAGCCGTCTCCTCGTGCCCCGCCAGGCACTTCACCACCACTGCTGCCACTCGCACCCGCACCCCCTCCTCCCCCTCCTCATCCCCCCTCCACCTGACCAATGGCCGGCTGACACGTGGCAAAAGGGAGGAGTTGGTTAGTGGAGTCATATGCAGAGCCAGTGGGGGCAGAGCTTGTGGAAACAGGGAGTGGTGGAACAATTGCGGGTGCACCGAGTGTGGTTGCACTGATGCTTGGGCAGCTGGAAAACGGTCCGACTGTTGCTGCTGCTGCTGCAGCTTCACCGCCATGTGCTCATCCGCCTCTGCTTGACTCATGAGTACATTTCTTTTCACTCCAGGCTGCTTGGTATGCTGCGGGAGAGGCAGGTGTGAGAAGCGGTGCAGATGGCGTGTGAGGCAGAGGGGCAGGGGTGGCGGTGGGGAGGCGGGGAGAGCGAGGGAGAGGAGGAGGGGGAGAGTGTGGAGGGCGAAGGGTGGAGAGACGTCACAGAGGAAGGTGAGCGCGAAGAGAGCTGCATGGCGCTGCTGAAGTGGTGGGTGGGGCGTGCGGGTGTAGGGGGAGGGGGGGTTGGGTGGGAGGGTTGTTGAACAATAGAGCGACGGAGGGGAGGAAGATGAGAACGAAGAGAGCTGTATGGAGCTGAGGGTGGGCGAGTTGGGGGAAAGGGGGAGGAACACGAGGGAGAGAAGGATGGGAAGAAGGGAGAGAGGGATAAAGGGGAAAGATACGTAGAATGGAGGGAAAGAAGGGGGATTGAGGATGAAGGGGGCAGAGACAACACGGAGGAATGTGGCAGCAAGGAGAGCTGCGTGGAGGTTGGGGTGGGAAGACAGTTGCAAGGGAAAGGAAGGATGGAGAGGCAGTGAGAGCGAGGACTTGGAGTGAAGTATGGCAGCATGGAGGTTGGGGTGGGAGGGAAGGAATGGAAGGGGACGTGACGCGAGCAGCGACGAGAGAGTGATGGAGCTAGGAGTTAAGCAGGGAAGCGTGGAGAGGGAAGGACCGGGTTGAGGTAAGGGAGGAAACCGCGAAACAAGGGAGGGGAGGACAGGCGGCTATATAGGCAGCACGAAGGAGAGCAGGAGGAGGTGTGAGATGGGCGAGGTACAGCGAGTGAGGGAGGGGAATCGCGAGAACACAATAAAGCGAAGAGCAAGCAAGGCCTGCAGAATAATGACAACAAAAACGCACACACACACACACGCACGCACACAACCACCCAACCACCACCTTTCTTTTCCCCCCTCCACCCACCCAACCAACCCCCTCCTTTCCCCGTATTCTCCACCAGATACACAACACACGCACACACGCACACATGCACACACGCACACACGCACACACGCACACATGCACACACGCACACATGCACACACGCACACATGCACACACGCACACACGCACACACGCACACATGCACACACGCACACATGCACACACGCACACATGCACACACGCACACATGCACACACGCACACACGCACACACGCACACACGCACACATGCACACACGCACACATGCACACACGCACACATGCACACACGCACACATGCACACACGCACACACGCACACACGCACACACGCACACACGCACACACGCACACACGCACACATGGAAACCTAAACACACCACCCACCTCACCTCCTACTTCCCCTTATCCCCCTTTTTCTCCCCCTCCCCCCCCCCCCCCCACCCCCTCACTCACCTCCTGCTGTCCCTCTGCTTCCATTGCAGCCCGGACCACCAACTCCTGCACGTGTGCCACGTCAGCAGCCAGCGGAGCCAGGCAGCCAATCAGGCGCAGCGCGAGACAGCGGGCTTCAAGCGATTCAATGGAGTCAACAGCGCCAGCTGCTGTTGCTGCTGCTGTGCCTGCTGGCATGGGTGTGCCTGCCGTGCCTGCTGGGGAATTGGCTGCTGCTGCTGCTGCTGCTGCTGCGGTGGGTGGGAGTGGAAAGGAGGAGGGGCGAGAGAGCAGAGGGGCGATGCGGGTGATGACTTGGGTTGGGTTCAAGAGCTTCCGAGCAGTCAACACGTCCTCCCAGTCCCTGGCACCGCCAGCACCACCATCCCTGCCAGCACTACCACCACTATCGCCACCATGACTATCAGCATCGCTATCAGCATCACTATCTCCATGTCTTTCACAGCAATCACCACTGCTGCTAGCACCGTTGCTTCCATCATCATCACCATCACTGCCAGCACCACCACTTTCTCTCTCTGCTTCCCTCACGACCACTCCCCCTCCCCTCCACACATCCCCCACTTGCTCTCCCTCCCTCCTCCATCGGCAGTGCAGCAGGCTGACGTCACACATACTGCTGACGTCAGGCACGGCATCACCACCCGCGTCACACCTCCCAGCACCGGGGGGCGTTCTCAGAGCGGCAGGTGTGAGTGAGGGGGCAGCGGGTGCAGCTGACGTGGCATGATGAGATGCAGGAGCGGGAGGAGAAGGGGGAGGAGGAGGGGGAGGAAAGGGAGGGAGAGGGGAGGCAGAGGTGGAGAGGTGGAGGAGGAAGAGCTTGAGAATGCAGAGGCGGGTGGCGCTGCTGCTGCTGCTGCTGCTGAAAACATCAGCCAGGCGCAGAACCAGCGAATTGAATCGTGCCACGTCACTCTCAGACACAGGGGCTTGTCGCTGCTGCCCCTGCTCCTCCCACCCGCTCCCCCTCCCGCTCTCCGCCTCCCTCCCCCTCGTCCTCTTCCTCCCAGCCCCTGCGCTCCCCCCCGGCTGCTGCCCCAGCGTCCAGTGCACGAGGGCAGGCCCGGCTGCGAGAATACCGTGGCACTGAGTGGCTGAGAGGGCGGGGACAGGGGGAAGGGTGGAAAGGGTGGGAGAGGGAGTGAGAGGGAGGGATGCAAGGGAGAGAGGAGAGAGAGGGGATCGAGGGGATAGGGTGCAGAAGAGCGGAGAGAGGGGAGAGAGTGGGGAAGAGGGGAGAGGGAGTGGGCGAGTGAGGCGAGTGTAAGGTGCGGCGCCGAATGTCTTTCCTCTGCTGCGAGCCCGCTAGAACGGGGCGAGCGGAGTGCAGAGAAATCAGCGCGGCACACGGTGGCAGGAGACAGGGACGAGGACGAAGGCGGGGAACGGAAAGGGCTGAAGGGAGATTGAGACGAGGTGGGGGCGAGTGGAGGAGCGGGGGGAAGGTGGGTGGCGAGGCCGTTGGGATTCGCAGGAACGAAAGCAGGAGATGGCATGACAAGGCACAGCGGGTGGGAATGAGAAGGCAGGGAGAAGGAGGCGGCTCGGCGTGGAGCAGAAGGACGACTCTTTCGCAGTGACGATGGAAGCGGCGCGACAGCGACGACTCACACCTAGTGATCAACGGATCCGCGCGTACGAATTTCAGGGCTTGAACTGCAATGAATCTAGGGTTACGATTAACTGCGATTAGGGTTACGCAGGTTACATGTGCTGCGCACCGTGATTTCAGCGGCGACCCACCTGGCTGCGGGGAGCGCAAGGCGCGCTCGAGACGCGCCATCCAATCCGCCGACGACTCGCCCTCGCGAAACGCCATTGCGTCTTGAGACGTCTCAAAACACTTCTTTTATCAATACCAGCTGCAGCTATCGAGCGGAACAAATCGCGGCCTCGATTTGGGCACAACTGCGTGGATGGAACATTTGTAAATTGACAAATTGCAAACATTTGCAATTGACAACCGCCCACCCCATCTGCTCGATGGTTGGGTTGGATCTGCAGGGTCAACAGCTTTTGGAAGCGGTTTCCGTTTAGGAGCAATGGTGCAGAGTGGTCTAAAGCGGTATAAACAAACACGACCCACCTTGACATGCTCAATCCACGTGTACACAAATATTAGCCAATCTGTCAGACAGCGCTGGTTGCGGCTCAATGGCCGTCTGACAGCGCCACGGTTTCACCATGTTCTCTCCTGCCACTGCCCAGATGTGTCAGCCCAGGCCTGTCGAAGTTCCTGGGGCTCGTACTTGCGCTCCCCAGCTCCTCCCAATCTGACCCTTGGTTGGGGGTAGGTGAGCGTTTTGGCGCCCTTAAGGGTCACGGGCGCACCCCAAAGTCAGAACTTGAAATCAGGGCATGTTTGAAGTTTGCACTTACACTTCATTTTACTATGATAAGTGCTGTTATGTACTTAAATTAGAAGTCAAAGACACCTAACACTACACATGTCTTAAATAGTCATAAAACCTACCTAGCCTGCAAAGTTCTTATTCTCTACACTAACTGCAGATATGGCATGCAGAGCTCAGCTACTCTACTCTAACCCGACATCCAATGCGAGCCTAGTTGGCAGGCTTCCTCCCCTTCCTCCCCTTATCCTCAAACAAGGCATAGGCCGCTGCCCAGTCCACTGGGTAGTCTAGCATCTTCACCGTCATCAGCTCCCCCAGCCTAACATCAGTAAGAGCAACACGATCCCACGACTTAATAATGTTTTGGCGGGAGAAGCCCCTCTCACACTCAACAGTGCTGAGGGGCAACACAGAGACCGCACGCCAGAGAGAGACTATGGTGGGATAGTCATCCTTCCAGTCTGCAGTGCGCAGCATGTTGGTGAGAGCCTGATGGAAGCTCTGCTTCTTGAACTTCTTCTCCATGGTGGCTGTGAAGAGGCGCATCTGCGGCTCTATGTCAGCAAGAGCGACTCCTGCCAAGGACATATACAAAGTTAGATTACGTCATTGTGTGAGCATAATACGTACAAAGTTAGAACATACGTGGGTTCCTTTCATACTAATCTAGGCTTACCAGGTAGCTGGTTCTTGAACATGTCCAGGAGCTCGGTGAGATGGTGCTGCAGCCATGTGTCCTGCTCTCCTGCACGGAAGGGATACTTATCAGGGGTGAAAAACCCAACACCATCGAAATGGCGCAGGTCCGCCATCCTCTTCCCCAGCGCCTTAATCAGGCGCTGAGCGAAACGCCGCGCCAGGTCCACGCAGGCCTCCAAGTCGCATCCCCCCCCCGGGTTTTCAGGGTCGATGATGTCCTCGTGGAGCTCGATCTCGGCTTTTGCAGGTTTGCCGTCGCCACCCACTCCCTTGAGCTCCATCTTGCGCTTGTCCTTGCTGCCGTGTGCAGCAAGGAACTTGTTCAGGCGAGAGGTGTTCGGCCCGTAGGATGCGCTGGGCTCGACGTAGTACTGCGACAGCTTGGTCTTCACCTTGTCGACGTGATTCTTCACCTCTGTGATGTCGACCTGAAATCAAACGGAGCGGGAAAACATTAGAACCAAGCACTTAAGAGAAGAAGCACCTAGTACATGTTCATGTCAATCTTACCGTCTGCTTCTGGAAGGCAAGATTGAGTCCGTTGAGCAGCTGCAGCACGTCAGCCAGGAGGTAAAGCATGTAGTGGAACTTGAAGCTGGTAGCGAGTTTCTCCATCCCGTCCTTCTCCTTCGTCCACATCCACATCAGCACCGGCAGCACGTCGCAGAAGCGATTCACAGCATCTCCGCGAGACAGCCAACGGACGGTGCAGAAGCCTTGCACCTCCAGGTGCGTCTTCAGAATGACGTCCTGGAGATGCATGTAGGTCTTGTGATCGGTCGATGAACGCCCGAGACGCTCGGCAGTCTGGCGTATCATCTGATCGACGACGTTGAACTCCTTGAAGCTCTTCGCGGCATCCTTTGCAGCCAATGCCTCGCTGCACAAGCACGACAGGTTCGTGAGTACGTATGGCGACGGTAATAAGATAACAGGACATTGCAGTGCAACCTTACCGATGCGCCACGCAGTGAATCGCCACCAGCCACGGGCAACGTTTCCGAAGCAGGGCGACAACTCCGTTCTTCGAGCCAGTCATGATGGATGCACCATCCGTTGAAACCCCGACAAGCTTGTCCATCGACATGTCCTTCGACCACAGGCACTTCACGATCGTGTCGTACAGTGCAGCGGCGTCGCAACGCTCGAGCGACAGGAGAGCAAGAAACTGGGACACCACGGCCTCGCCTCTCTCAAACGTGACATACACGATGAGGTGCTTTCCGCGGGCGCGATCCGTGGATTCATCGAAGGAGAGGCTGTACCAGGCCGACTCTTTGACGTCCACGAGCTGCCTGGCCACCAGATGCTCCACCATAGCCTCTACGAACTCGCCGAAGGCGTATCTGCAATGAGCACCAAATGTACGTTACTCACAGTATAACACAAGCACAAGTACGAAAATACAGAGGCAACGAAGAGAAGAAACAGCAGGACATTAGGTGCAGAACCAGAGGGTAACAAACACTTACCGCGAGTAATAACGCCCGTAGGATTCGCTGTTCATCATGTCGGGGCATCCTTGCTCCGCCATGAACCGCACCAGCATGGGGTAGAGAGCGATCGGTGCATCGTTCTGCGCAATCCACTGAGCTGCTTGCATGCATTTGACGACCCTCGCCATGACTGGATCGCCGCTGAGCATGTTCACGAGGCTGCGCTGCCTCACCTCCGTGCCAGCAGCGAGTCGTTCGGCTTCCATGGCCGCGAGGTGCACCTTGGACTGGTCATGGTTGCGGCACGCCGACTTCTGAAAGTCCCTTGCACCGACGCCAGCACCGCCAAAGGGAGACTTGGTGTTAGGAGCGAACTTACAGCACACGGAACACTTCATACCATACAGGCGCTCCTCTTTGTTGTACTTCAGTGTCAGCCACGAGTACGTCTGCTTCCACGACGGGCTGAAGCGACGTGCCATACCCTTCTCAGCAGCAGGGATCTCGGTGTCCGGGGGCACTTCTGCATCCTCGGCGATAGCCTTGTCCTGCGCCTCCAGCTCCTCAGCAGTGGGTGGAGGCGGTACGCTTCGTGCGCGCTTTCGCGAATCTGGTGGCGGACTTGCGAAGCTAAGGTGAACCTGACGGTAGCGGGCTGCTGACAGAGGTGTAGTCTGTGACGATGATGCTTGCTGGGCGAGGCGCGGGTCCAATACTGAGATTGCTACGTCTAGCATGTCTTCAGCATCCGAGGGTACGTAAGGCTCGGTCTCGGTCGTAGTATGAGAATGACTAACGTTCGACATGGGCAAAACTGGAGGAGGGGTTTCACCCTCGCTAGGATCCATTGTGGGAGAATGTGGTTGACGAAGCGAACGGGTTAGCTACCCATACTATAAACATCGCGTGCGTGAGCTAGGCGACGCGAGGTTTACTCGGCAGAGTGGTTGGGTGGAGGAGAAGTGCCATAGCATGGCACGTACGAGAGGGGAGGGGAGAGCTGAGGGCTTGGGTGGATGATACCGTGGAGGTGGTGGGACGGTGCGGAAGAGAAAACATGGGTGGGATGTGGTGGTGGATGGATTGCATGGTGGTGGAGAGGAATCGTGGCTCGCACGAACGAAGGTGGTGAGGGAGGGAGCTGCTGCGCTGGAGTGCTTCAGTTCCTTTGACGTGCTGTGGTTTAGTGTCTTAGATGTCTCTGTGGCCAAACAACTTAGCCAGATTTACCCAAGATAATCCCATGTGTCACAGCTGTACACTGCGGCCAGCTCGTATTGGACGCTAAGGGAATGTGCGGGTGCTCCTAGGCTGACTGAGAGACACGCTACACACACGGGATTGGCTACAAAACGCTAAGGGAAAAATCCCCTTGGCGCGCTCTAGTGCAGGCTAAGGAGAAAGAGGGGGGGGAGGGGGGGGGGGGGTCCTACGATCTGAAACCAAAACTTAGATAAAGGGGAAGGCCTGGTTTCGTCCCTTAACGCATCCGGGCAAGGGTCGAATGAAGCACTTAGTGGCACGGGTGGGGTGCGAAACAAAAACTTGACGCATTGGAGCTGGAGCGAAACTAGCCCTTAATGTTCAGGGCATTAAGGGCATATGCCCGTCAATCGACAGGCCTGTGTCAGCCACTTTCGCGTCGCGAACTATTCGCGCGCGTCGGTGCGCGCCCTTTCCAAAAATGTCCCACCAGCACCAATTCTCCCAGTGCCGCGCTGCCAGTCCCGCCTGCGGCCCCACAGCGCATCACATCAGCAGCACCACAAACAACTCAAAACAAGACGAACCCCGATTTCACTCGTGCCATTGCACAAGCTCAACTCAACTTGACCCCACTCGACACAGACCGTTCACGCCACACTACCCGTCGCACTGGTCCACCATTCATTGCCAATTCTGGTTCTCCCTGTTCTTCCTGATCAACCTCCGCTATTTGCCACCGTCGATTCCTTTCTCTCGATTTTCACGATCAGCTGTTACGACTTCCGTTCCGCTTGTCACGATGGCTCACTATCGATCAGCACGATCAAGGCTGCCTTCGCTCATGCAGAGGCTGCTCCTCCTGGCATGCGTGGCGCTCCTGCTCCCTCTGTCGCAAGGTGCGTATTTCTATCGTATTTCGCCGGTAGCGGCACGGTGCGTACTTTCTGGCGCATTGCTGTCGCACGGTTCTACGTGTCGCTTCACGCATCACGCACCACCCGCTGAAGCCACGGCATAACGTCGCCGGCTCCTCCTTGATTGTGCCTCCTCGCTGCTACGAAACGCTGACCGTTTCTTGTGACAATTTCGCAGGAAAATGGGTGAGCCACCTGTCGTCGTATCGAGCGTATGAGCGGCGCCTGGCATCGGCTGACGGGCCAACAATCTTGACAGTAACGCGCGGACCCTCGGAAGAGCCAACAATCGGGACAGTATCGCGCGAATCCTCGGGATCTGATACGATCACTCCCGGCGCCTTGACTCTCAAGTCCTTGGAAGGACTTGATGCGCGCAGCCAGCCCGCCTATTCCCCTCTTCTGCGCGGATATGCGCTGGCCGCGGCGGCTTCCGCGGAACTCCTCTCTCGGGGGACTCGAGAGGCGACGGAAACACCACTGGCCGCAGCGATTGTGGCGGAAGCTTAGGAGGCGAACGCGGTGTGGGCGGAAAGCGCGCGCAGCGTGGTTGGGGGCGGGCAAGGGGCGGAGGAAGGGGAGGGAGTTGAGTGAGAGGCAGGGAGGCTTGCTCGGAGGCGGAGGCAGTGGGACGAGATGTGACGAGCAGCGTCAAGCGACGTGCGACGGCGGGCGAGCTCGGTGCGCTGCTGTTACTGCCACGTCACTGCTTGCAGCTGGCGCTAGTAGCGGTCGAGCAGTGGGGCATACAGCTGGCACTAGAACGCGCGGCGTGGAGCGGGCAGCGGGGAACAGGCGGCGCGGAATAATCATTGTCGGAAGCAGCACCACTCTTAGGCGCTGCCGATTTGCGGTGTTGCTGTGATTCGTGCAGCTGGGGTCCTTGGCGCTTTGCATGCGGAACTCTCCAGCTCGCCGTCTCCTGTAGTGTGCTGGTGGGGAGAGGGGGGTTGGGGAAACGGGTTTTGAGGGAGAAATTCGCGAGGTAGGGAGGCAGCACAGCCGCAAGCCTCTGCGGTATCACGAGTCTCGCTGCGGAGACGTCACGAGTCTTCAGCAGACGCGCCAATAGCATCCCCTTTACAAGGAACGTCGTCCACATTTACGCCACCTTGTGTACAGTATGCCGGCAGGCGAAAAAAGGGGATTGTGTACAAGTAGGAAGTATGGATCCAACAGCCTGCACGTTGAGGTACAGCAGGGCGTAATAGGTACATGACAGTGCTCTTAGTTGAGAGTAGCAGGGAACAGCAGGGAGCAGCAGGGAGCAGCAGCGAGCAGCAGGGAACAGCAGGGAGCAGCAGGGAGCAGCAGGGAGCAGCAGGGAGCAGCAGGGAGCAGCAGGGAGCAGCAGGGAGCAGCAGGGAGCAGCAGGGAGCAGCAGGGAGCAGCAGGGAGCAGCAGGGAGCAGCAGGGAGCAGCAGGGAGCAGCAGGGAGCTTGGAAGCGTTCTCACTTGGAAAGTGGACGCGGCGAGAATTCTCTTCATTTGTAATTACATCTCACGCGGTGGCTTGGAAAGTGGGCGCTGCAGTGGCCATAGAGCTGGACTGGCCTCCATCTCCGGTCTCACTCATCTCATGTCTCACTCAGGGAGGCTGTAAAAAACATCCTCCGAATTATACTTTAGCTTTTGATCTTTAGCTTTGTCCTCTCTCTTGGTTGCTGTTCCTGGCCTGGCAAAAAAATCCGCCAAGCATATCACGGAGAAACACATCACCCTCCTAGATTACATTTCTCATCTCAATCTCAACATCTTTTCTCACCATCTCACCGAGCACAACAAAAGAAGCTCGCAAGCACAGCTGCATGGGGTATTTACTTATGGGATCATTTGAGAGATTATGCCTCTGCTTGCACTGATACCCTAAGGTGTGTGTGTAATACCGTATGGCCCCGGATATAGGCGCCGGCCTATTACAGGCGCCGGCGCTTCTATCTGGAGCATGGCGCTTATGGCCGCTCCTCGATTATAAGCGCCCCCCCTTTTGTACCCTTCCTTATTATAAGCCCCACCCTCATATTTAACACTATTTTTTTCACCACAACAAAAGCAAACAACAACTATAACATCGTTCGCTTCAACAAACACTACAGTTTGGTTCACAACTTTCCACTTGATCCGCTATTCTACCTACCGGTAGTTGCTACCAGAACTACTCCTCGTCAGACTCGGCCTCCTGGCAATTGTTGCCAAAGAAGCCGTC